GTAGGGGGTGATGTTGCTGTAGTCGAACGGTGAGACGGACGTGTAGTTCAGTTTTGGGCACGCGTACGGTGCTGCAGGGATTATATATAGGTGTAGTAGTACCTCTTCGGGCTCTTGTACACCTTTTTCTTGCTACGTGTGCGTGTTCTTTAGATCCTCAGATGGCTCTAGCACTTTCGTGACCACGGGCCGAGAGTCTTTGCTAGATTTTGGCATTTAGCAACTGGCATACGGTTTAATGTGAAGTCAACAACAACAACAACAAGAGTGCAGCACAGGTCATCAACAAAACTGAGAAGGGATCAGGTAGACTGAGGCTGCTGCGCGGAGAGGATAACAGTCCAAGTTGAGGATTGAGCTAATTTTTATATTGACGATCGGGGAATTATTGAAATCGATTCGTTTTTTTTTGGGGGGTCGATAGGAACAAGCTGCCTGACCATCGGTTCTGCGACGGTACTTTCAGATATATATCGGAATAACCACTTGTTGTGCAGAGAAAAGAAAAAAAATGCTGTCATTTGTGCTGGGGGATTTAAATGTTTCTTCCATCAATAGTAGTATGACCGACGATTTCCCGAGCAGCACACAGCGTCTGGCTGTCTGCCCATCTGCCGCCTCGCTGTCCTGTTTGCTCCGTTACTCCCATGCCCTGGTGCGTAGTGCCTGGTGCTAGTACGTTACCCTTTGATTTTTTCTTTGGGCGGGTGTGGGAAGCGTCCTCCTATTTTATTTTCTTAGTATCACACAACAAACCCATCTCTTATCTATGGAAATACGTCAAGATAGATTAGCAATGAATCCATAGCGTGAGCGAAAGGCTACCTGTATGTCTACGGTTTCCCAGACAGCATAATACAACGATAACTCCCCTGTGGGTGACAGGCTCAATCAACAAGGCAGTTTGGTACCATCTTGTGTATCACTCTGCATGTTATGTTGGGAAGTTGTAGACGGAAGATGATGTAGGGGAACTATATTTGTCGGGTGTTCTATTATAGCACCCTTACATATGTGGTTGCGGAGCAAGCGCGTTTCGGGTTGTGTATAGTTTCGTCATCAACTTGTTTTTTGTTTGTGATGTTTTTTTTTTTTTTTTACTCCCATCATTGGACTCTGTCGTCTGCCCCTCTGGCCCCTATCCTCCACTTCTTCTAGCTAGACGACCCAACCGGGGTCACATAGGAGGGGGCAGCTGGACCCCCTCCTGCGGTTCATGCCTGAGGTATTTTTATCGCGAGAAGGGTATGTATAGCAATCCCTTCCCTTGCGACTTACGAAGTCGATTATGATGTATGGGGGCATGGCGGCGCGGGAGAACATATTTATTTACCTTGTGCGTGTATGCGTGTATCGTGTATGTGTGTTTTCGTCCTATCTATGTGTAATGAATGGCATATCGTTATTTATTTATTTTTTCGGTTTATTTTCATCCTTTTCCGAGGGCTCTTTTCTCGAACGGTCGGTGCGATACCACCTGTTCTTTTCTTTCTATCATTTTGTTTTCTTTTTCCGAGTGGTTTGTACCCTATTTATATGTTTTGTTTCCCCGCGGCGTCGTATGTGCCGGGTTTTGAGACCATGGGCTCCCTATTTTTTGTGGACTCTGTAGAAGAGCTGATGATGTGAGAAACAACAACAACAACAACAGCAACAACAACAACAACAACAGTGATTCTCCCCCGTGGGTAACAGGGTCAACAAGACAGTTTAGTAGCCGTCTTGTGTATCTATCTGTATATTCTGCTAGGAAGTTGCACCCTTACGGAATGGTGTGCATTCGATTACCCAGACATATCAGGTTTTTGTGTGTGTACCCCCCAGGCTGGTGGTGCGCACATTCCACTATTTATTTATTTATTTGTTTCGGATTCTTTTGTTTTCGGTATTTTATGGCTCTGCTAACTGGCATACGGTTTAATGTGAAGTCAACAACAACAACCTCAGTAACCTGGCTTCGCCATCAAAGGAGGAGGGAGCAGGTGGCGACGAGCTTAAGTAGGCTGGTTGACNCCCCAGGCTGGTGGTGCGCACATTCCACTATTTATTTATTTATTTGTTTCGGATTCTTTTGTTTTCGGTATTTTATGGCTCTGCTAACTGGCATACGGTTTAATGTGAAGTCAACAACAACAACCTCAGTAACCTGGCTTCGCCATCAAAGGAGGAGGGAGCAGGTGGCGACGAGCTGAACTGGGCTGGTTGACCCCTTCGGCGCGAGAATTTTTATTTTTCAGACCAAGAACCTTGAGTGCAACGAGGGAGAAAGCGAGGAACCGACTGGGAAGGACAGCAACG